TTAAAAAAAACTTTTTAGTGTTATTTTATAATTAAAAATAATTCTATTTTCTGAAAGGTTATGTTGTCATGTTTCATTTCAGGTCCTGAAAATCCTTGGTTGGTCCAAGCTTACGTTTCCGAAGCCAAACATCCTTTTGCGTCTGTGGTGGCTCAGGAGGTTTTTCAGAGTGGCATCATTCCTTCAGATACTGACTTCCGCATCTACAGGGACTTTGGGAACATTCCAGGTATTTTGTCAGTTGTGGGCTACAGTGTGACGATGCTTAATTAATAGCAAGTTTTACATTTTGGAAGTCTGTGAGTAAACAGCATTTTCTGGGAGCACATTCTCTGAGAGCCGTGTATTCTGACTCAGCTCCTGATATTTTCCTTTTCTTTTAAATTCTGCTCCAAGTAAAATGCTTGCCTTTTTTAGAACATGTCATGTCACCTTGCCCCGCAGTGTGACAGAAGAACCGAGAACTGTTCAGTTCATTCCCAAAAGATGGTAATAGATCTTTCGGGGACTTTTGACTTTCATTGCTGTTTTGCTTTGCCAACAACATTGGTGGACTGTACAGCTTATTTGACGTTAAATTTGGCTCTGGCCTGGCAAGGCTATAGATGGCGAAGTTTCGAGGATGTCCCAAGCTCAGTATTCCTGCTCCTTGCTGTGGGACTTGTAATGTGCAGTCGTGTGCCTCCTCACGCGTGTATTGAATTACGTACCACAGCTATAGATTCTGTAAGCATTTGGAAGGGAATGTCATCCGTAAATGTGACAAAGCAGTCATGCTGCTGCTTTGACATTTTGTCTTTTAGGAATTTAATACATTAAACAAATAGGCCTAAAACAAGTGGATCTTTACAGCAAAATGACCCTTTTTGTGTATGTTTTAGGAATAGACTTGGCTTTTATTGAGAACGGATACATTTATCACACCAAGTATGACACAGCGGACAGAATTCTAACAGATTCCATTCAGAGAGCAGGTTGGTATTCTAATTTAGACTTTTCATCCGTGTTAAGATGGAATATCAGGGATGACCTATAAATCTATAAATATTTCGTGGCCTGAGCATTAGGGAGGCAGTGTATGGTGTGAATGAACTGGGGCTTTGGAGTTAGAGATCTGAGGACTTAAATTTAGCCTTGAAGACTAGTTTAGCAATTAAGAGCATAAGACTCTTCATTGTGGGGAACTGGAAAGGGGTTGACCCAGGGTTATGGTAGGGTTGCTGAGTGATGAGAGTCTAGCCAAAATGGAAGCTGTGCATTGGAGGCGGCACCAACACATTTGGGCAGCTTGCCCAGGTGCAAAAAAGTTACATCGATCCAAGGTTGGGTGGTGAGGGGCAGGTGAGAGGGTTATAGGACACGTGTCAGGAGAACACAGGACAAGGGAGTTCAAGTGCTCTCCCGAGAGATGTGGGGTAGTGAGGGCAGGTAAGTCTGATACTGAGCCTTAAAGAGTTGTTGGGATTTGGCCTAGTGGGGATTACATTCCAGGTAAGAGCACAGCATGGGGTAGGATGTGCTTGTGTGTGGGGTTGTGGGGGGCTGTTGGGGAGTAGATTGTCAGATTACAGTCTAAGGCAGTGGCCAGCAAACTGCGGCTCTCGAACCACATGTGGCTCTTTGGCCCCTTGAGTGTGGCTCTTCCACAAAATACTGACTTCTGCGCATGGGCCATGAAGTTTCATTTACATTGTCCGTGTGCGCCCGCACGTGGTATTTTGTGGAAGAGCCACACTGAAGGGGCCAAAGAGCCACATGTGGCTCGTGAGCCACAGTTTGCCAACCACTGGTCTAAGGGAAGCTGTACTTTCAGCAATAAAGGGAAATAAGGTAGAAGTGTGAGGGTAGAGAAAATTGCAGAAAGCTTTACAAATCATCCAGAAGATGCTGTAGAAATAAGGGGTAATGAAAGGCCTGAGTACATGAATGAATGATGGCTTTAAATGCTGTTAGTCTCATGATGCTATCTGGAGTGGATGGCGGAGACTGGGGAGAGCCATGAATGACGTAACTTAAGCCAGGAGACAATAATTTAAGTGTGGAATAATGAGGATCTGACAAAAGATAGAAAGGAAAGGGGAGGGGTAGAAAAATAGATTCATTTTTAATGTAAATTCAACAAGACTTGACAAGTTAGATAGAAGGGATGAGTCAGATGGACGGCAGCAAAGATGAGGCCATGGACTGTAATAGGGATGTGGGAGGGTGAGCCTCGTCCACGGCAGGAACAGAGAAGGGAAGGGCACCATGAACCTGTGAGACCCACACGGGGGGGGGGGGGGGGGGGGGGCGTGCGTCTGTGAACCGACCAGATGAAAATACAGGTACAGTTTAGAACTCTTGGAAGAACTTGGTATATGGGTTTGGGTGTGAAAGGCGTAGAAAATACCACAAAAAGTATGGAGAATGGAAATGTTTTTTTGGAAGAGCAAAGCGAAGGTAGAGGACTACACTTGAGCTTTTAAAGTCCCATTAGCACATTTTTAGGGAGCCAGGAGAGCCAGTGTAAGAAACCCTGTGGTAAGACAGGGTGGAGTCTTAAGTGAAAAGAAGAGAACGTTAAGGATGGGCAAGCGGAAGAAATGCCAGTCACTCAGGCTTTTTATTACTCCCGTGTTAAAGCTCAAACTCATTCACCTTTTCATCGACATAACAAACATTCGCTACCTCTGATGTGTCCTGCGTGATCCTGACTCTCCCTGTCATTGCTGAGCAGTCTCTCTCCTCATTCAGGACTCCTGTTTCTGTATTGGGAACTCTCCCTCCTCAGGGCCTGCATCTTCACCGTTCTCAGTCTGTGCGAGCTGTAAATACCACTTCCTCAGGGTTGCTTCTCTGACCTCTCAGACTCCATTAGTCTCCCATGATATGTTTCTAGGGACCTCTAATACCTCTCCTTGTTAATTATTTTTATTCAGATACAATGGACATTGCTTATTAATTCTTAATAACTTGCACACTCACTTGTGGTTTGGTGTCCGTGAGCTTCACGAGAGGTTTTGTCTCTTGGCTCACCACTGAGTTGTGTTTAGAGCAGCGTTTGCTGCATTCCATATATAGTAAATGAATAGGCACTAAGAAACAGCTATTGAGTTTGTCAACAGCAAGGGTACAGCTGACCACAGTAAATATAGTTCTAATAGATGGGAATGGATGAAGGCCATTTGGCTGAGTTTGTAGGTGGAGAGGAAACGGAGTATGAGCTTGCAGCTTATTTGAAAAATTTAATAAGAAAGTGGGGTCGAGCAATAAGATGGTAGAAAGCTATTTCTTATCACATTCTTGCTAGGTGTTTCTTTACTCGGATACTGGATGGTTTATTCAACTTTGTCTTTCTTTTCTTTACTAATAGGTGACAACATTTTAGCAGTTCTTAAATATCTAGCTACATCTGATGTGTTGGTTTCTTCTTCTAAGTACCGGCATGGGAACATGGTCTTCTTTGATGTGCTCGGCCTGTTTGTCATTGCCTACCCCTCTCGTGTTGGCTCCATAATTAACTGCATGGTGGTAATGGCTGCTGTTCTGTACCTGGGCAAAAAGTTGTTGCAGCCCAAACATAACAGTGAGTATTTCCCCCTAAAACTACAATCCTGGCATGGGTGTAGAATTTGCCTGAAGTTTTTTTAGTCAGTTTGCTTATATCTTTCCAAGACATTAAAAATCCTAAGAAAAATAACATTTGATTTGTAATGTAAGAAATTTCTTAATGAATATCAGATTAATGTGTGCATTATATTTTTAGTCTTGGTGAAGCAGACAGTTTTTATGTACTAATGCCCTCCTTAGAAGGACCACATTGGAGCTCTTGAAAAATGGTTTGTACAGATTGACTTTTAGTGAAAAGTCCCACTGAAACATCAGGTCTACGATGCAGACCACTAGCACAGTGTTCTGACGTATGAATGAACTGCTGCCAGTTAAATTGGTCCCCTTCCGCTTGAAATGTTTTATAGTCTAAGCTGGTATCTGCTGTTATGAGATAAAATATTCAGCAGCTAATTTAAATAATCCTTAACCACCAGTTATGTTCTGTGCTACTTCTTTTCCTGTGATAGCTTCTTTTAGCAAAATTTTAGGTGGAACTTTGTTTTCCATTCTTGCTGATAGTTCGACACACAAAGCAACCCGAACGGATGAAGAGTAAGACGACCCATTTTCCAGTTAGGAATGAATCTGAAGTAGTCCTGAAAGACTTATCTCTGAGTCTGTAATACCCACAAAACTCTCCGTCAATGTTACTTGAATATTACTCTTTTCTACCTTCCCTGTTCTAGTATTTAACAAATCTTATCCCCGGGTCGTTTCAATACTTTTTAATTACATGGCAAATTTTCTGATTTAACGTTTGCCCCTTTAACTCTACTGATTGGTTATGAAATTGTTTGATAAAGATGGTGGTCTCCACACTGTGTTTCTCTTCGTTAGCAGCTAACTACACGAAGGACTTCTTCTGTGGATTTGGCATCACTCTGATAGGCTGGTTCACTAGCCTGGTGACCGTCCTCATTATAGCCGTGTTCATCTCTCTGATTGGACAGTCTCTCTCATGGTACAACCACTTCTATGTCTCCGTTTGTCTTTATGGAACTGCTGCTGCAGCCAAGATAATATTCATACATACCCTTGCAAAAAGATTTTATTATGTGGTAAGTGTTAAGCGCATTTATTGATTTCTTTTTGCTGCCTTCAAGGATTGAAGACAAACTCAGTGGGATTCATTGTACAGTCATGTGCCACTTAGCCATGGGATGTATTCTAGAAAAGGTCATTAGGCGATTTCATCATTGTGTAAACCTCACCCAGTGCACTTACACAAACCTAGATGGCGTAGCTGTTGCTGTAACTGCATGTGCTGTGCGCTCACAGAATGGCTGTGCAGCGTTACCACAAATGCTGGCAGTGCATTGCGATGTCACTAGGCGACAGGAAATTCTTGGCTCCATTATAATGTGATGGAACTACCATGATAATGTGGTCTGTCCTTGACTTCCTCATGTGGCTTTTCCCCGGTGGAGGAAGAGCACAGATTATATACATGGCCGGATTTGGCCTTTCGAGCTATCAAAAACTGTATGGCATGGTCATAGAAAACTGGCTCCCAGAGCTGTGTTAAATTTCTGAAAGGCTTCTTATTCTGAGGGTTTTCGTGCAGACTTCAAGTGAGGTGACAAAGCTGTAAGTGGTGTTAGGGGTGATAGTTAGCACTGCTGCATCTGCCTTGGTTTTTGTAACTGTGCTCTTGAATCTGCCAGCCCTCTGAGGTGACAAAGCTGTAAGTGGTGTTAGGGGTGATAGCACTGCTGCATCTGCCTCGGTTTTTGTAACCGTGCTCTTGAATCTGCCAGCCCTTCCTGGGCTCACCTAATTGCTTATCTATACTAATAAAAGGGTAATATGCTAATTAGACCATATGTCTTCCGGATGACCATCTGGACGTCCTTCCTGACAAAGTCGGCCCCAGGTGAAGCCGCACGCCTCACGGTCCTGGGCACCTTAGGCTACGGCCTGGGCGAAGCCACCCACCCACGGTTCCCTGCAGTTGCAGCCAGCCAGGGTGAAGCTGGCCCGGGTCCCAGGTGCCTGTGGCTGGCCAGAAGGAGGGAATTCTGGGTCCCAGGTGCAGGGCCGAGGCAGAGGCAGTTAGGGGCAATCAGGCCGATAGTGGAGCAGTTAGGGGGCGATCAGGCAGGCAGGCAGAGGGGGTTAGGGGTGGTCAGGCAGGCAGAGGTAGTTAGGGGAGATTAGGCAAGCAGGCAGGCGAACAGTCCCAGATTAGGAGCCAGCGGTCCCAGATTGCGAGAGGCTGCCGGCAGTCGGATATCCCCCGAGGGGTCCTGGATTGGAGAGGGTGCAGGTTGGGCTGAGGGACCCTCTCTCCCGTGCACGAATTTTGTGCACCGGGTCTCTAGTGTTTGAATAACTCTGTTCTCCACTGGGCTGTAGGCTTCATGAGGGCAGGGATTGTTTTGTTCATTATCCCCTGGGCTGAGGCAGGGTCTGACACAGCACTAACACAGTGTTTGCCGCCTGCAAGAATAATGCACTTACAGCTGCACTTAAAGTTTTCTCCTTGGTTTCCTTCACTTTTTTTTTAACTGTATGTTGTTGATGTAGATTCTGACAGTTTCCTTGGTGTGCTGTTGGGGGCACTGCAGCATCCTATACAGTCATCCCTCAGTGTCCCTGGGGGATTGGCTTCCGGGGGGCGCCCCCTGGGATATAAAAATCCTCAGATACTCAAGTCCCTTATATAAAATGGTGAAGTATTTCACATAAACCAACTAAGCATGTTCTCCTTGATACTTTAAATCAGCGGTCGCCAACCTTTCGGACCTCACGGACCACCACAGGTTGGCGACCGCTGCTTTAAATCATCTCTAACTTTACTTATAATGCCTAATACAATGTAAATGTTATGTCAACAGTTGCTGTATTGTTTAGGGAAAAGTGACAAAGAAAAAAGTCAGCGGCATGCTCAGTACACTTCAGCAACAATGTAATATTTGAAGGAATTTTTCAATGTGTTGTTGGTTGAATCCACTTAATGCAGTTCCCGAAGATACGGAGGGCTGACTGTACCGTCCTTCACAGGTCATTTCCCTAGTTCGCCTGAAATTCTTTGGAAGTTGTGTAAATAGGAAAGCTTCCAGAGGTGAATGTTTTTAGGAGACTCCTTTTTCTATTTTATAACATTTTCAAAGTTTACTTATAGCCCGGTGGAGGAAAAGCACAGATTATATACAAGTAATGATGTTTTTTTACCCCATCTTGTTAAATTCACCTTTCCTGTGCAGCAACTTGAATTTATTGCTTCATGATAGGAGGTAGCTTTGTTTATAAAGGCTAGATCCCCACTTAAAATGTGTAGCTTCTCTGAGCAGTGGGAACTGTATTCCAATAGAGCAGTGGTTCTCAACCTTCCCAATGCTGCGACCCTTTAATACAGTTCCTCATGTTGTGGTGACCCCCAACTTCATTGTTACAAATTGAACATAATTAAAGCATAGTGATTAATCACAAAACAATATGTAATTATATATGTGTTTTCCAATGGTCTTAGGCGACCCCTGTGAAAGGGTCGTTTGACCCCCAAAGGGGTCGCGACCCACAGGTTGAGAACCGCTGCAATAGAGTACCTTTATGAGTGGCCCATGAATACGACTCTTGAGTATTTTTCTTTCTTTCAGAACGCCAGTGACCAGTATCTGGGAGAAGTATTTTTTGACATCGCGCTGTTTGTGAATTGTGGTTCCCTTATAGCTCTCATTTATGGAGGATTTTGCTCGGCATTTATCAGTGCTGTGTGGGTGGCGTTTCCATTGCTCACAAAGTTTTGCGTGCACAAGGACTTCAAGCAGCACGGTACGGTGTTTTTGGTTTGGATACAGATGGGAAAATACCTTTAAATACATAAGATAAGGCTTCCGGGGACTATTTCTTTGATCTCTTTGGGAAGGTTTTCTAAATTTTTTTTTTTTTTTTAATTTTCAGATCACGCAGATTTTTCTTTCATACCTCATACCCTACCCCATTTTCACAACTATTTCTTTGATCTCTTTGGGAAGGTTTTCTAAATTGTTGTTTTTTTTTAATTTTCAGATCACGCAGATTTTTCTCTCATACCTCATACCCTACCCCATTTTCACGTTTACGAACACATGCTAATATATTATGTATTTTGTTTCTTAATTGTACTTTAGCCTCTCTGAGTGACAGTGTTTTATCTCACTGGATAACATAAACCAAAAGGGCATGAGTCACATCTAGCCCAATTTCTGATAGGTGCCAAGGTACACCAGCACTGTAAAAATCCTTACCGCACTGCCGCGTCTCAGAGATCTGTCATTTCTTTCTCTTTTTCCCTAGGTGCCCGAGGAAAATTTATTGCCTTTTACCTCCTGGGGATGTTTATTCCTTATCTCTATGCATTATACCTCATCTGGGCGGTGTTTGAGATGTTTACCCCCATCCTTGGGAGGAGTGGTTCGGAAATCCCACCGGATGTTGTGCTGGCTTCCATTTTGGCTGGTTGTACGATGATTCTCTCCTCTTATTTTGTAAGAAAATTTTTCTTCTTTTTTTAAAAAAATATAGATATGTGATGAGTTTAGCCATGCCATTCTGTAAAATAGTGTTGCTGATAATTTATTGAGAAATTCTTAAGCAAAAGAAATAGTGAATGGCTGTGCATATTGTGGGTTTGGTGTGGTAAGAAAATGCAGAATGGGTTTTTGTTGTTATTTTTGCTCCTCATCTGATTATATTGCTTTTCAAATAACTTTTCAAACTGCCTGAACGTGAATTTGCAGAATGCGTACCAAGTGAGGACTGGTAGGGGTGGCTTAGTGGTGAATTTTTAGAATGATTCCTAATAGTGTGCTTTGAACTTACTCGTTGGAGGCTAGTGATAACACATAGCAGTTTTATTGGTGCTTGTTAGAGCGAGTGAAGGAAGACTAATTCTGATGAGGCTTTTCCCGTGACCAGTCGGCTTACAGTTGAGTCTTGTCTCCTCGAGGGATGTACACTTAGGACACCCACGGTGCCGTTACTTAGCAGTGATGAAAAAGTATCACAGGCTTGTCATTTTGCTTGGTCAGTATTCTGCCCTCGGTGCGAGTCCCGCCCTTGCCACCCGTTTCCCTTCCCCGGACTCTCCAGCGGGAAGAAAGGACATGAGCAGAGTTGATGGCTGGACCCCGCTGGTGAGAACAGGCTCCATGCCGAGTTCTGCCCCGTGTGGTGCAGACGCCGTCCGGTACTCCGGACGCCGGCCTGGCCCCGCCAGGGGAGGCAGGTCTCTGTGTGTGGCACTTCTCGTCGGAGTTCCTAAGAACAAGAAGTACTTACTGTTTACCCGTGGGCACACTCTGAAATTTGGGGCTAGGGGACCAAATAGAAAAAGTGATTGTGGCTTTACTGTGTTCTTTCCTCTGTGGAGATGATAGTGACCTTTTTCATATTTGATTCAGTAAAGGGCATCGGTGTGGAGGATGTTAGGATCTAGCCACAGCAGGCCAGCATGCCACATGCCTGACCAGCATTATCCACCAAGTCCCTTAAGTAGCCAGTAAGTAGCTGTATACGCAACATCATACACAGTCCTGTAGAGTCCTATGCACAGTGTTGTTTGCAGTCATTGTACTAGTCCTAAAAAAGTCTGAGCCAGTTTCAGCCATTTTACCTTTGATATAATGATCAGGTCCTTATTGGTATTTGCAGAGATGGATGGAAAATCCTAAAATGTTTCTTGTTACCTTCAGGGTTTACGTATTTTGGTTTTAATATTAAGCCTTTAAATCCTCTGTACATATTACTAGGTAGGTTTGCTGTTGTGAGGATTAAAGATGGTAGAACATTGTCTTGTAGAAAAGTTCTGATGTAGAGTCAGCTGAGTTATGAACTAGATCCCTCAGAGTATTTAAGGCGTAGTCAGTGAATGAATATTCAGTTCTGTTCCACATGGAAGGGTTCAAAGTGAACTCTGAGAACCTCACTTGTGGAAATTGAAAATGACCCCAAAGCATGGAATCTTGGAAACCTTAAGAAAGGGGATTAAAGTCTATTATCTTCTAAATTATATTTTCTTAGGAAAGCTTTGATTTTATTAAAAGTGCCTCTTGGCACTAACCAATTTGGCTCAGTGGATAGAGCGTTGGCCTGTGGACTGAAGGGTCCCGGGTTTGATTCCGGTCAAGGGATATGCCTGAGTTGCGGGCTCAATCCCCAGTAGGGGGTGTGCAGGAGGCAGCTGATCAATGATTCTCTCATTGATGTTTCTATCTCTCTCTCCCTCTCTGAAATCAATAAAAAAATATTTTTAAAAAGTGCCTCTTGGAATACTTTAAAACCTCATCTAATTTTCATTACATGAAATAGCTCTGCTGCTCTTTGATGCTGCGGGTTATCATTCCCATTATTTCCCTGTGTGTGGAGTGTTAAGGATAGTGGCTTATTAATAGGGTGAGCCATCTCTTTGGTAATGGAAAATGGAAACACAAAGCATACTTCGGAGAGCGTTTCTTCCAGTCCTTAGGGATTTATTAAATGTATTTGCTAGAAAGCAGTTGAATTCCTGTCAAGTGATCAGTTAGCAGGTCTCCGGGGTTTCTGCTGCGCTGCGGCTGTCATGGTTATGTGGGTTAAGTGGGGGCAGCAGACTGTGTTTTGCTAACTCACTGCTTTGAGGCCTGGGGAACTTAGTTCTGTGCTCACAGTTGTAAAAACATAAGATCCTTTATCTAAGACCAGTATTGTTTTGCAGGAGATTACACTGGATGGGATATTGGTACACTGTAGATATAAAGTTCTTTAATTTTATGTAGTAGAATATATGGTAGGTTATGAATATTTGCTTAATTTTCTATTTTCATCTCAAAAGTATTTGCATATTTATGTTCTTTTCTACTTATTGACCCTAGAGGGTGGGTGATAAGGGGGAGAAGACAAAAGGGGGAGCTGGGATTAGATCATGGTTTCTCAAAGGGGTTCCTTCAGAACCTCTAAGGCGCCTGAGTCATGTGTGTCCCCTATAGCTTTTAATGCAGTGATTTCATTACAGTTGATAAGCATAGTTAGGATTTTGGCTGCCACATTGAGATTGAGACACCCGTGCCGTTTGGGGGGACACTATTACTTTGTGTTGTAGTTTTTCCTCACGTGCAGGAGCCACGCAGAGTCTTGAAAGTCCATCCAGAGGGATCCCACCCCTGGGCATTTTATACAGGCATTATGAGTGAAATGTGAGTCTTGTTGAAATAGGCCTGAAAGCTTACCTCCGTTTCTTTAATAAAGGCCTGATGTCACGAAGTGCTGGTGGTTAAGTCATCTGTGTTAACAGCACGTTGACAGAACAGGAAATAAAATGAGGTCATGGTTTGGTGATGGAGCTACATCCTCCAGTCTCGTGGCCAACTGAGCAGACACACTGTCCCCTTTCTCCCACTGCTGTCTGTCGGGAAGGCTCCACCATGGCAGCGGGGCATTCTCACTCATCCAGGTTCTGACGTGCGATGGGAATCCCTTGTAACGAGTGCTGTGTTTACTGGGAGTGTGTTTAGCGTATGTTAGCACGTGCTGATACATTTTCTTCATGATCTGTCGTATAGCACCTGTCATAAAATAGTTAAAGCCACCTTTCTGCCAGTGGTAATTATTCCTTTTTTGTGTTTTGTGTTTTAGATTAACTTCATCTACCTTGCCAAAAGCACACAGAAAACCATGCTAACTTTAACTCTGGTGTGTACAGTTACATTCCTCCTTGTTTGCAGTGGAACTTTTTTCCCATACAGCTCCAATCCTGCCAGTCCAAAGCCAAAGAGAGTGTTTCTTCAGGTAAGAGCAGTTTTGCGTGAGCTATTTGAAATTCTGGAGCGGAAAGCCTTGTGTGTTTTGAGCTTCACTAGTCAACAGGAAAACCAACTGACATTCCTACTGTTGACCTATTGAGTTATGCTCGACTATTCTGTGTAAGACAGTGAGGAAAAGACTGACCGTCAAGAGGCATTCTTACCAGCTGGATACTTCCCAAGAGACCAAATCGGAAATATCTGCTCGTTGTTTTATCACTGTTCAAATTGTAAAAATGCACCCACTTTGAAAAATAAGAGCAAATATATATCATGGGGTAATGAGCTTTTAGAAGTACAGATTGTAAGAATTCCTGCAGGCCAGTAAAAATCTGAACTATCAACTGGCAAAATAAAATAGGTATTTTATTTATTAAATTTATTGATTTTTAGAGGAGAGGGAGGGAAGGAGGAAGGGTGGAGTTAGGGAGGAAGAGAGAAACATTGATTTGTTGTTCCGCTTATTTATGTATTCATTGGTTGATTCTTTTATGTGCCCTGACCAGGGATTGAATTCACAGTCTTGGTTTATGGGGACGATGCTCTAACCCAGCAGTCGCCAACCTTTCGGACCTCACAGACCGCTGGTTGGCGACTGCTGCTCGAACCAACTGAGCTGTTTGGCAGGGGCCTAAAATAGATATTTTTAAATGCTAGTAAAATTGATCTTAGTTAACACTCAGAGTAATATGTGACAATGAAAATATAGTGATTTAGAAGGGTTTAATAAAATGAAATTTAGAATTTTCTTATATTTCAAGTTTTCCTGCAAACTTTTAGAACTGGCTCTATAAAGCAGGAAGAAGGACTAAGTTGCTTTATTTACAGTCATCTTCTCTGTTAGAGGTTGTGGAGAGGCCCAACAGAAAAGCTGAGTCACAACCTAGATAATGATTCAAGGACTTGCATAAGTAATAATATTTGAACTTAAATATCAGAGAGATTTTGAAAAAGGGCCAACCAGTCCTTGTTTATATACTGGAGAACAGTGATACATTTTATGTGACTTTTTAAAAAAAAATGTATTTTATTGATTTTTTTTTACAGAGAGGAAGGGCGAGGGATAGAGAGTTAGAAACATCGATGAGAGAGAAACATCGATCAGCTGCCTCCTGCACACCCCCTACTGGGGATGTGCCCACAACCAAGGTACATGCCCTTGACTGGAATAGAACCCGGGACCTTTCAGTCCTCAGGCCAACGCTCTATCCACTGAGCCAAACCGGATTGGGCTTATGTGACATTTTATAGTTTGCAAAAAACCTTTGGTGAAGAACAGCTAATTAAAAAAAAAAAGTTTTTATTGATTTCAGAGAGGAAGGGAGAGATAAATAGAAACATCGATGATGAGAGAGAATCATTGATTGGCTGCCTCCTGCATGGCCCACACTGGGGATTGAGCCGGCAACCCCAGGCATGTGCCCTGACCAGGAATCGAACCGTGACCTCCTGGTTCATAGGTTGACACTCAACCACTGAGCCACACCAGCTGGGTGAGAACAGCTAATTTTTAGGAGATTTAATGTTACCTATGACTTGCTAAATGTTTTTAATTTAAAAGTATAGTTAACATACAATATTAGTTTCAGGTATACAACAGAATGTCTTTCTCATTTTTATAATTAAATCAGTACTATTTAGGACAAACCATATTTTTATTTTTAAAAACTCCTGTTCTGATTGGAATTGGGGTTTGCATCAGTGCCAGAAGTTGGTGAGCTTTTCCTGTGAAGGGCCAGATAATATTTTAAGATCTTCCAGCTGCTGTTTTTTTTTTTTAGAGTGAAAGCAGCCACAGACAGTACCGAAGCCCTCTGCAACCCTTTTTCTTCTCCCGTATGATATTCTTCAGGCTGCTTTCTGTTGTTAATAAAGCTATTCCAGAAGGAACTTGGTGTCCTTTCCCAGAATTCCGTTAAGCACAGTCCGTCACCCCTTGGTGAGCTGTGATTCCCACTTTTCTCTGCACGTGAATTAGTCTCATGTAACACTGAAAGGGAGATGTGTGTGTGTGTGCTACATAGGTCCTTATCTAAAAGGAGTTCTAGTGTCCATGGTTTTCAGAATTTATATGAAATTTAAATATATAAATATATTTGTAAGAAAAAAGTGAAAAGTCAAAATGTATTTGTAAGAAATAATAAAACAACCCATCTTTGAGTTTAAAAGAAAGAACATTAACAGTCCTTAAGAAAACCCAGTTGACCCTTATTGATCCAACTCTTTCTCCATCTCTCCCTCTTCCCAGCCCCTAAAGTACTCACCCAACATCTTGAAGTTTGGAGCTAATCATTACCTTAGTTTTCTTTATTTTACCACACATGTATAAATCCCTAAACAACACATAGTTTTGCCTGCTTTTGAATTTCTTACAGGTAAAGCCATTCCATAAACATTCTTCTGCCCCAGAGCATGTGAGAATCTTCCATGTTGATTTGTGTCGCTGTCGTGCGTTGTTTTTCCTTGCTGAGCAGACTTCTGTTGTAGGATGACTCCCCAATTTGCTCACTTTACTGTTAATAGACATCTGGGTTGTTTCCGGTTTTTGCTAAGGTGGGCAGTGCAAAGGCTTCTCTAAGGTGCATATTCAGGAGTGGGATTGCTGGCTTGAAGGGTATGCGCGTGTTCACTTTGTTAGGCAATGCTAAACCGGTTCCTAACATGATCGTGCCAGCACACACTCCCTCCGGCAGTGTGCAAGGTGCCTGGTGCTGCTCCACAGCCACCTCATTTCTGGTATTGTCTGCGGTGGGGATATGGGTGAAGGAATTGAAACAGTAGTTTTCTCATTCGTCTTGTTCTTTTCAGCATATGACAAGGACATTTCATGACTTGGATGGAAAAGTAGTTAAACGGGACTCTGGCATATGGATCAATGGGTTTGATTACACTGGAATGTCTCACATCACCCCTCACGTCCCGGAGATCAACGACACCATCCGAGCGCACTGCGAGGAGAAGGCCCCCCTCTGTGGTTTCCCGTGGTACCTCCCAGTGCACTTTCTCATCAGGTTGGTTCACTGCTCCTCTGCTTCAGTTGGGGGTGGGTTTGTTCTCAGGTCCTATCACTGTATCCACACGTTATTATTTACACTGGTTTACACCCGAGTCAAGTGCCGTTCACACTGCTTTTCCTGTCACTGCAACAGTTCTATGTCTTTAGTGGGATGAAGCACTCAGAAGAGTGGGTTTGCTTTTTTTTCAAATTTAGAAAGTCCTCTAGAAATCTCAGTAGTTAGAAAGGGCGGCCTCCTTCACTGAGCTACTGGACAGCAGTTAAGCATCAAGTTCAAATCATGTATTTCATTTCTGGGGGAAAATTTTGTGTTGTTGTTAATCCTCACCTGAGGATATTTTTTTTCCATTGCTTTTCAGAGAATGGGAGGGAGGGGGAAGCATTGATGTGAGAGAAACACATCGATGGGTTGCCTTCTGCACATGTCCCAACCTGGGACAGGGAGCAAACCCATAACTGAGGTATGTGCCCTTGACCAGGAATCCATTCTATAACACTAACCATTGCACTGCACTGGCCAGGGCCATTTCTGGGAAAGTTCTAGTGTTTGGCAGTGGAGGATTAGATGAGAAGAAATAGTTTGGGTAGTGGAATCAAGATCACCTACAATCCTTTATTAAAGGTTTTATTCTGCAATAACCTGGGCTTCAGAGGAATTGGCATTATTTATTACTAGAGGCCTGGTGCACGAATTCGTGCACAGGTGGGGTCCGGCTGGCCTGCCCAGATCGGGGGGAGGGGACACAGGAGGTTGGCTGGCTGCCCCCGCCCCCTGGTCAAACTCCCAGTTGAGGGGACAATTTGCATATTAGCCTTTCATTATATAGGATTATATTCATCAGAGTTTATTTTCATGCTCCAAAATCTGTTCCATATATTCTGAACACAAGCATCCTAAATATTTTTGAAATAGTGAATATTGAATTCCTTTCCAAATAGGAAAAACTGGTATCTTCCTGCCTCAGAAGTTTCTCCCAGAGAACCTGTTCATTTCAGACTTATATCCAAAGAGCAGACCCCCTGGGATTCTGTAAAGTTGACCTTTGAAGCATCAGGTAAGTCATATGGCAGTTCCCTTCTTGTCTGTAGTTCTTAAAAATTTTAAGCATGAATGTCTTTTTCCTCAGGTTTATAATAGTGACCAGTAGCTTAATGTTTCTAAAAGCAACTGCAGCTGATGATTTTTTTAAAGAAAATTTAACAGGCAGCACTAAAAAATACCCACACCTTCCTCCATCCTTTATGCACAATTTGGAGAATTCCAGTAAAGGCACGTTCCTGGCAGGCAAGCTGTACATCACCCACCCTATGTTTTGTGATTACAGCTGTCAAGAAATCAGAAACGTTTTTTTTGACTGTATATGTAGGTCTGTCTGTGTACCAGTGACCACACTTTAAATTATAGAAACTTATAGGTAATGATTGGGAGAGTTAAGATCCTTTGTAGTTTTTTTCAGTGTTTTGCAGTTACTTTCAGTTTCCTTATCCATGAACCTGGAATGTCCTTTTATTTGTTCAAACCTACTTTTTTGTCTCTCAAAAGTGTTATAGAATTTTTCTTATCTGGGTTTCGTTGCTATTATAATTGGGTTTTTCTCTACCTGTATGTCTTTTAACTGGTTATAATTTGTTTATCTTGCTACCTCATTGAATCTTTTATTTTTTTACTCTTGAAACTTAAGGGTTCTCCAGGTATACCAGGAATTGCCAAACTTTAAAGGGCCAGATAGTAAATATTTTAGGCTTTTGCCATAATTGTAAGCCTGACGGAGTGGTTCAGTTGGTTGGAGCATCATCCTGTACACCAAAAAGGTTGCAGGTCCAATTCCTGGTCAGCAGATACCAAGGCTGTGGGTTCAGTCCCTGGTTGGGGTGTGTTCGGGATGCAACCGATGCTTCTCTCTCTAAATTTAATTTTAAAAAATCCTCAGGTGAGAATTGAAAAAAAATAGATTAATAAATAAAAAAACCCAAAAACATAAACCATTTTTAGCCTGAGAGCTATACAAGAGCAGACCTCAGGCATAGCTTGTTGACTACTGCATATCATCTGCAAATGCAGTATTTCTCCTTTACCAATTCTTATGCCTCTAATTGATTTAAGTGGTTAATACTTCTAGCATTGTGTAGAACAGCTGCTGAGATAGTGGCATTCTTGCCTTGTTCTTATACAAAGTCTATAGTGTTTTCCCATGATAGATGATTTTTTATCATGTTAAGCATTCATCAGTTGGCACTTCTTGAAATCTTTTTTAAAATAGGGAGTTATTTTAAATTTTGTGAAAGGCCTTTTTTTAGCCATCTGTAAAGATAATCATAGGTCTTTTCTTCCTTGGATATTTTGATATGATATATTCCATCAGGTCGTGGCCTGTTATTTTCTTAATGTGATCTTGGATGTTTGCTAATATTTTCTTTAGAAATTTTGCATCATATCTCATGAATTATATTGGTCCGTGTGTGTGTGTGTGTGTGTTTTACATTCTATCAGGTTTAAGTACCAGTGTTATGCATTATAAATGTAAAAACATCATAAATGTGACACATCATGAAAACAGTTGGTAAGTTTTCCTTATTTTCAATGCTTTGGAAGTTTATGGAGCATTGGAACCACTTGGTTGAAAAGTTGACTTGAATTCCTCTCTGAAACCACCTGTGTCTTTTTTTGTGGAGTAGCTTCTTAATTTTTCTAGGGTAATTGGTCTACTTAAGCTTTATGGCTCTGTGTTCAGTTTTGGTCGCCTATATTTTTCTAGAAAAATCTCCATTTCATCTGGGTTTTCAGAGTTATTAGTGTAGAGGTCTTCAAAGCAGTCATGTGATTTAAAAACTTCTGTTTATTTTTATTTCTCTTTCGGCATACTTGTTTTTGCTCCACTTCCCTCCCCCGCCCCCCCCCCCCCCCCCCCCCCTCCCTCTCCCCAAACCATTGAATTACAATCTCTCCCCCCCCCCCCACGCCTCTTTTCTAATTAAGTTAGCTAGTGGTTGTCTTGTTAATTTAAAATAGTAACAGACTTTTGTTTAAGGTGGATCTGTTTTGTTCTCTTCAGTTCATTGATTTCTGCTTTTATCTATATTTCCTAACTTGTGCTTTCTTTTTATTTTGTCCTTTTATATATCTGTCATTTTATTGAAAACAATGTTTATTGCTATGGATTCTTCTCTTATCATTGATTTACCTGTATCCAATAGTTTCGGATATATGTAGTTATTTTCATTATTTAGAAAAATTTCCATAATTATTTCTATTTCCTTTTACCCATGAGTCTTTTAAATAGGACACCCTTAATTTCCAGGTAGAAGACTGTTTTGTTTTGTTGTTATTTTCAAGCTTTGATTTATGATCAGTGTTATTTGTAATCTCAATTTTATAGAATTTTGCTATTTTAATGATCTTTTACTTTTATGAATATTTTATGCTCACCCGGGATGATATATATATCTGTATTATCAGCATGTAAAATTTGATACAGATTTCATATGGTCTATTTCACTGATCATTTTGTTTAGGTCTTTTATATAATTTTTTGTTCAATTGGTGTCTTAGAGTGAAATATTAGTCTTATATGTATTTCTGTATATACATTTTGCATCCCTTGTGTAGTTTTGCTTCATTAAATAGTTGCTATTTTGTGTACAGAATTAACAGTTTTTATGTGAACTTGCAGCTTTTAGTATCAAAGTGCCTTTACTTTTAATGCTTTTTGTCTTGAATTCTATTTTTTCCTGACATCAAAGAGCTCTTTGTAACATTGTGTCCACTTGCCTATAATACCTTGGTTCATACCTTTATTTTTACCCTTTCTGAATCTCTTTAAGTATATCCCTTGAATATAGTATATGATTGGTCTGGCTTTGTAAGCCAAGCTGAAAACTTCTCTTTTAGTGGCCGTGTTAGATCTATTCACGTTTTATGACTGATGCTTTCTGTCTTTGTCAGTGTTCTGTAATTATGTGTGTAATACTCCTTTTCCTTTGATGTCTTCTTTCCTCTTTAATTTTCTGGCACTTAAGAAGGTTTATATTTTTGTTTTGAGTGTGTGTGGGGGGGTGTGTGTGTGCTTACTAGACTTCGCTCTTCCCTCTCTGCTTTGCTACATGCAGCACTTACACAGTGGTTTCCCACCCCGGTATCTGTTTTAGTAAAACCCTCAGTGTCAGTTCTTTTGCTATGGTTGCTGCAGTTCTCTCTTGGTTTGATGACGCTTATTCTCTAGATTTCTGAACAAAGGCTCTCGTGAGTGCTAGAATGTTTCAATGGCAGGACTGAGACTTGAGCCCAGGTTTCTGCTGCACCTCATTACTTACCTTTATTGATCTACACAGATTGGCAAACCTCCACTCGGTTTGCAGTGAGTGTCTTTAAAGTGATAAAAGGCATAAACTTCATAGTCTGGTTTGATGGTGGCTAAACTGCTTTTCTTGCAGATGCTGTTTTAAAGATAGTTATAACTGACCTTTCTTCCTCTTATGTTACAGGACCAAGCCATATGTCATTGTATGTTCGACCCCACAAAGGCTCAACACTTTCTCAGTGGTCTCTCGGCAACGGCACCCCGGTCACAAGTAAAGGAGGGGACTACTTTGTATTTTACTCCCATGGACTCCAAGCCTCTGCATGGCAGTTCTGGATAGAAGTACAGGTGGGATTTCCCAGCACTGCTGGTATCACTGGTCAGGCTCCCAGGTGGCAGGTGGCAAGTATCAAATACTCGGGCTCAGTATGCTGCCTTCACAGAGCTAGAAAACTAACAGCTTTTCTCTGCCAGGTCCTGGAAGAGCAGCCCGAGGGAGTCGTCACCGTGGCCATCGCTGCCCACTACTTTTCTGGGGAAGACAAGCGGTCCTCCCAGCTGGACGCTCTGAAAGAGAAGTTCCCGGACTGGACGTTCCCTTCTGCCTGGGTGTGCACCTATGACCTCTATGCGTTTTAATCTTGTGAATGAGCTGAGTAAATGCCCCGTGGGATGCTTCAGGTGACATGGTCTCTCCTTAAGCTACATGGATATTTGTAATGTAAGACAATGAATTTTAGTAAGTTTTGTAGGCTAGCCCTCTTGGGGCCAAGCACTGTAGTGGTTGTGCTGTGGGGTAGTGACACATGGCCTTTTTAAAACTTGAAAATGCCAGCTTTCTGGCGCTTAAGCACACGTGGGTACTACCACTACACTAACATGTCATTTTATATGACCTTACGGACAAAAGCCAACAGACCACTTCAACAGCTGTCCCCGGAGAGTCCTGAAAGATGCTGAAAGTACTGCAAGACCATTGTTAATGAGACAAATGACATTTCCAATGAAAGCCCAAGACCACTGTTGTGTCATGGATGTGGGTAAATTGCCAGTCACTGGAGTAATGATTCCCCTGGAGGCCTACTGTAGGTCACTAGGAAACTATTACAAAAGGACGGGAAGCAGCTTTGGGCTTCTGAGGCCCCAGCCTGTGCTGGGAGAAGTGTCTTCAGGCAGCTGCTAGCGTGTGCGCTGGAGCCCAGGACCCTGGTGTGGAAGCCGGTGGTTCCTCGCCTTCTGAGGAGTGGTCAGTGCGATACTTGTCGCAATGCTCGTTTCTCTCTGGAACATCTGTCCCCCCTCCCCACCTTACCGATGCTCTACCCCCTCCGGTTTTCACAGGTTCTCTTGGTCCAGAATGTCAGTTGTTTGTGCAAGTACAGGACTTTCACTTCCTGCCCCAGAGCCGGGTTGCCATGGCGTCTGTTCTGGGGAGGGTGGAGGGTGGGTAATAGTGACTGAGCATTTTATACATACTTATTCTCTTTGTTTTGTAGAAGGGAATTTTCCAAGGTTAATCCTTAAGGGCATAATTTTATTGATGCATGGAGTCCTTATTTTTGTCTGTTTTCTAACCAGCTGAACAGATTGGTTTCTCAGTAACTTAGTGTCCAGCAGAACTGGCTTCCCTGTAGCTGTTGGGGTTCAGACCCTGCATAATGGCAACCCTAGGACTTAAGAGGTGCTTTTTGTTTTGAAGAAGGTGGCTGTGAGCAATCACAGCAGTGGAAGGGCTTGGTGAGATCCCTGGCAAATTTTGCTAGCTTTCTTTTTTCTGTTAAGAGATGTAAAAAGTTGGACTAATTCTGCATTTACTAAGCATAAGCTCCCCCCCCAAAAAAAACATTTTAAAGAAAAGCTACAATAAGAATTAATTGGCACTTGGACCCATTTGAACAGAAAGATTATAGTAAGTATGCATCACGGGAGGAAATTCTTCTTGATACATGTGATTTCTAATCATGCTCCTCATATTGCCTGCCTAGTTTGTGGCTCTTTAAAACTCACTGGGCCCACACAAACAGGGCTGCAGCCAGAGCTGAGTGATAACATGCTGGCTGTGACATGCATGGGCACTAGAGCCATTGCTTTTTTTTGACTTTGTAGAAACCACATATTTCTAGCCTCAAGTGCCTGACTCCTGCCACATTTATCTGTCAGGCGGTAATTAAGTGTTTATAGCTTGTATGAATCACAGTTGTGGAGGAAAAGTTAGAAACTTAATAGCTCAATGAATTTTAAAATACAGTCAGTCCTCCATATTTGCAGGTTCCACAGATGGAAAATATGCAGGAAAAAAAAGTTACATTATTGTTGACATGGACTAAGTAGTTAGGCCTACAGTGGTTGTGTCAGTAGTAAACATGTAGACTTTTTTCCTTATCCTTAAAAAATACAGTATAACAACTGCTTACATTAGGTATTACCAGTATAAGTAATGTAGAGATGATTTAAAGTATATGGGAGGATGTACGTAGGCTATATGCAAATACTATGCTATTTTATATATGGGACTTAAGCATCCATGGATTTGGGTATCCAAGAGGGTGGTTCTAAGGGATGACTGTACAAGCATATTTTTGTGAGTAATCTGAAATTACCAGAAATTATTTTTAAGAAAAAAAAAAGGCAAAAACCCAAATGTGTTACTTGTGATTAGTTTCCTTTGGGAAGGATGTTGTTACTCCTTTTTTCAGTAACAATCATGGTTTTCTTTTTGCCCTTGAATTGTACCTTTATATGTAAACAATTATGTTTTTAGGCTTTCTTTAGTATTATAAAGCTTCCATATTATGCAAGGTTGGTAACAAATCTCTGGGCATGCTTAATCTTCTGGGATATTGATTTAATGGCAGAAATGGTTAAATAATTCCAATATTCATGGCTCTATTAATAAGCACACCACTGTTAGATCAGAAGCCCTCTGAAATTAAAGAATTTTGTTTTTTTAAAAGGTTATTCAAATGATCAGATACTTAAAAAGTCTTTGCAAATTCTAAAATACATGATTTCCTACAGAATTTAAATGTAAGGAGAACATTCAGGGAAAGTGTAAATGCGATTTCGAAGGAATTATTTCTTAAAATTTACTGTGTTGTCCTGAAAAAAACTATTGTTGCATGAAGTATCTGTTTCCAGCATGCTAGGATTCTTAAAATGTTGCTGAGGGGGCCATAACCCAGCTTGCTGACTCAGGAAGCTACAGAAAAAATGATTATGTCTGTCCATTACTTTTCACTGGTTTCACTTGAGAATTAATTGTTGCCTTACAATGTTACTGAAATAAACTTTAATATACTAGTTAGTATATTAAAATAGAAAAATATATCTTTATTGTATTCTGTATCCTTATATGTGAAATTTTTTCAAAGTCTTGTTCTTTTTAATAGCTGTTAAAAGGCCTAGATCAGCAGTCACTAACCGGTGATCTGTGAGGTGGGTGACCACTGGCCTAGATGGTTCCTGTGGTTATAACTGCTATTTTAATGGGCCATGTGAGCAAAGAACTCAAGATGGAAATGTTAGTTTACTTCAGTTGGAATCCTTTTGGCTGTGGAATGAGGCTGTGCATCTGAATTTCACAGAAATTAATGACCAACTACTTGGTAAATGTTGAGTTTCAGCATATTTAGCAGTTTTAAATCATATCTATCGGCAAAGGAAATCACTGAAGGGCTAATGGAAATGGTATTTTGTTGGATAGAGCTCATTCTAATCTCCACACAAGAAAAGGGCATCACTACTCAAAACAGTCCAGTACAAGGTGTAATAGCAGAATGACATTCCTAATACAGTTTACAGAAATTTATGGCCAATAGAGCAAAAATACACTTAATACCTCTTTATTTAAAAAGCCTAGCCAATTTGGAAGTACATCAATATATATTTTTGACACTACTACATTATTTGATTTGTAAAAATATAACATACTTTCATTTATCCCAAGAATGCAAAGTTGGTTTAATACCTGAAAAATGCAATATACCATATTCATAAAATAAAGGACAACTACCATATAATCATCTCAATAGATGACCAATTATTTGGTAAATATTGACAAAGCCTAACACCTTTTCATGATGAAAAATAACAAACTAATAATAGATGGGAACTTCCTCAACCTAATAAAAATCATTTATGAAAAGAAAGTAATTTGTGATTAAAGACTGAATATAATGCTTTCCACCTAAGTTCAGAAAGAAGACAAAGATGTACACTACTCACTTCTGTTGAATACTGTGCTGGAGGTTCTAGCAAGAGGCATCCAGATTAGCTGCAGATGACATGATCTTTAAAGAAAACCCTATGGAAGCCACAAAAACTATTACAGTTAACTAATGAATCCAGCAGTGTTGTAGGATCTAATTTCAACATACTAACAAAGAGTAATTCTATTTGCAATAGCATGGGAAACAATAAAATAGGAATAAGCTTACAAAAGTACAAGATTTTTATAATACTATTATATAAAACATCGCTGAAAGGAATTAAAGACATGTCCTAAGACCGACAGGCTTAATATTAAGATGGCAATATTCTCCAAATTGATCTATAGATTGAGTTCATATCAAATCCCAGCTGCTTTTTGTGTGTGCACACACATAACTTGACAAACTGATCCTGCAAGGGACCCAGAATAGCCAAAACATTCTTGAGAAAAACTTAGGACTCACACTTTCAAAACTTCCTACAAAGTAGCAACAGTAATCAAGACAGTGTGGTACTAGCAGAAACAGACACAGATCAGTGTAGTGCAATCAGCCAGAAATAGACCCATACACTTACTCATAGTCTAATGAGTTTTGACAATGAGAGAAAAACTTCAGTAAATGGTTCTGGGACACTGAATCTTCCCATATAAAAGAACAAAGTTAGACCCCCTCACTTCATAGGACATAAATAAAATGAACTCAAATAGATCAAAGACTAACACGTGGAAACTAAAATCATGAAACCCTTAGAAGAAAACATTGGCATTAGTACCTGCTGTTGCTAACTGAAAGAAATGAGAGGATTTTCACTTTTTTGAAAAAAGCTGTTACTGTACTAACGTACATCTTTCAAAAAAGCCAAGTGCCACAGCACAAACTTTCAAAAAGCAGAAACACGCTACTTTTGGATAATGGGGGAATGAAACCTGTATCTGATAAGCATCTAGTATCCGAAAGATAAATGACCCAAATATGAAGTGAGCAAAGGATGTGAACTTTTTTATCCAAAGATACACAAATGACTAATAATCATGAAAAGACAGTCATAAGGGAGATGCAAATCTATAATGAGATACCACCACTTAATTATATTAACGCAGATGGCTATAACCAAAAATACAACACTAACAAGTGTAGACTGGAGCCCTCCTCCACTGCTAATGGGAATTGAAAAAAAATAGCCCAGGCACTCTGGGAATATGGTTAGGCATTTCCTCAAAGAATTAACTCACATCACATGACTCAGCATTTCCACTCCTAGACAGAACTGAAAACATGTCCACACAGAACTTACTTGTACATGAATGTTCATAGTAGCATTATTCATGATGGTCAAAACGTGGAAACCACCCAATTCCTTAAATAACTAGGTAAACAAATATAGTATGTCTATAAAATGGAGTTATTATCCAGCCTTGAAAAGGAATGAAGCATTGATACAAAGATGGAACATCATGCTCAGTGAAAGAAGCCAGACAGAAAAAGCCACATATAACATTATTCCATTTATATGAAATGTCCAGAATAGGCAAATCCGTAGACACAGCAGATTTAGGAATAAAGGACAACAGTAAAAAGTAAAAATCAAATTGTTAACCTCACCTATTAGAGATGATGCCTGGTGTCCTCTACACTTTTGTATATAAAGTTTTGCTTGGTGGAAATCATATGGTATGCATGATTTTGTATCATTTTTCATGGTAGTTTAAAACATTTTCCATGCCATCAACATGAATCATTTGTTCCAATCTTGCATTGTCAAGCATCTAGGATGCCACCAACTCTTGAGGCTCCTATCCTAAATAATTCTGCATATAAATAAATATTAAGTCTGCTGAATTTCTAAGTTATTTCGTAAGAAAAATTCTAAGAGGTGGAATTATATGATCAAAAGAATATTTATGTGGCTTTTAATACATATACTTTTTGCTGTTACCCTGAGATGGTGAATAAACAAAAGTTAATGTAATGGTTTTATGGCCCTTTACCAAGTAAAGTACACATTACAGAAGTAGCAGCAACTTTAATTCAAGCAAAGGTTGACTCTATATCCCCAAATGACTTCTTGTTTTGGTATTAGCAAATAATTTAAACCTCAAATAGTTATACTGAATAAATTCACTGGTTAAAAATACGGCTTAAACAGTTGATACGTGAACCAAACAAGGCAAAAAAAGATTGAGTTTTTAAATATTAAATTGTATTAACAAATTACTAGAGAAATTGCCTATAAATTCGTCTTTTTTTTTTTTTTTTGCCTTGGAGCCACCCATTCCTATTAGTTGAAAAACAAGTATTTTCTAGAGAACTCATTTATGGCATTAACCCCAGGAATATAGCTCTTATTGACGCCTGCTTGGGACAGTGCAAGATGAACCCAGCAGCACATTAGGATATTTGAAAAGATGACAGCTGTTTAAATGGTAAATCATTTTTATTGACGGAATATTCACACCAAGCACAAAAGTAATGCTAGGTCTTCTCCTAGTGGACTAGGGCAGAAGAAATTTCAGTTTAGTTTCTTGCTGAGCTCATGATGTACTCACCTGGGAAACAGTTCTATCTTAAGATTCAGGGAAAGGTGGTTTAAAACAAAGGCTTAAATAAAAGTAGCACCAGAAGGACCAGGTCAGGTACCAATAATCACATATTCCACCCATTCAGGAGTTTCTGTATGTGAAATTATTGCACTTGTAAAAAGTAAATGATAGTAAATTACCAAACCCAATAATTTAAAACAGTCTGATGAATTCTGAACTAAGCAATTTCAAAATAGTCTTGAGTTTCCCATCAAAGGGAACTTGGCTAGGACAACTAAATCTAGCCACTTACTTTTAAAAACAAGGATAGAGGACCAAGTTTTATTTCTAAACTCTAATTGCACTAAGAGGAGAGAGGCTGTTTTACATAGTGGTATGAATTTGGTCCACATGAAATACATTGTTATAAAAATAAACAAGTTTGTTTTTGTAAAAAATAACATTGCATTCCTTTGTTCAAATTGCACAATACAAACAAGCTATCTAAATTAATACTGTTATAAGGTAATTAGAAGTACATACACTGGGTATGTGTTTAATCTGAAGCAATTAAGGAGTATGCAGTTTTCATAATGTATGAAAACTAAAATTAAGTCATATCTAGAAATACATAAAATATTTTAAAAATTACAATGAAGAATGCATTCTTTACATACTAATTTTTAGTTAGCCGTGATAATACAGGATTCAGTATATTTACATAAAACTCCATTTTTACTCAATTTACAAAAGCAATAAATAAGAAACTACATTAATTTGCACAAAACCTGTTTCATTTCATGATTGGTGTGACCATTTCTGTTATTTTATGACCAAGCCAATAAAATAAACCTGTCTTCCTCTATGAAGATTGCTCATATTTGGAAAGAAGAGCAAGCCCTGTCTTTATTCCAAGAGTGACTATAAATGGCCATGCAGAATCCAGCATAAAACCATACAAATTATTAATAATACAAGCCCTAAAAATATGAACAGTGCCTTTGAGTATGTTTATACAAGAGTATTCACAAAAAGATAAAATTCTTGATACAAAATAGTTTAGTGGTATCTAACACATAATTAGACAAGAACCCCTCCGACCTCCGGTCCAGCAGGAATGCAGCTGGCACACTGCCTCACAGGTACAGCACTCCCATCATTCAGGACTGGCACGTGCTGTGCCAGGGCAGACATCTGCTCAGGAGGCCCAGTCAGAGTCCAGTGCTCTCAATCTAGGGCATTCCAGGTAGCTCAGGTACCTGACAAGCTACAGCAAGCACATGAGCATTTATTTTTAAAAAAGCAGTCTGGACACACGCTGAACCAGAAAACGTAAGAAGCTATATGTAGTGAAAAAGCAAGCTCATCTGGGGCAAAACAATCCCTATGGTTTAAGAGCTACCAATCTTAAGAATAAAACCAAAATATTCTCATGTACATCTGTACAGTATTCTTTATTACTTTCCACCAAAGCTTTAAGTTTTTTTTTATGAAAGATGATTTATTCTGATATCATATTTTTCTGGAGTCAAGGAGATTTCTTAGAGAAGAGTTAGTTAAAATTTAATACCTTACCAGAGTCTCTGAGCTGAGCTCC